AATCAATTGGCTTTGGGAATACAGCTAAATGAAACAGTCATTCATGAAATTTCTAATTATTCTTCCTTAATTTGTACTAAAATCCAAAAGGAATAATATCAGATTATTTGCTCTTTTGCATTAAATATCCCCGTGTGCCATTCCATTTGCATATATGAGTAAGGATTTCTAATAAAGTATAGGATATAGGGGAGTTTTTCTTCAAAAAATGGATAAATTCATCACCCCAAAGAGTAAACTATACAGTGGACTATGAACTCGAAGGGAGTTTGCTCACTGATCAATTAATCAGAAATTATGCAGCCAAGAATTCTCAAACAAGAAGTATTTTTTTATTCTTTATATTTTAATAAAATTCTTCATTTCCCATTTTGCACAGAATAGCAAGTGGCAAGGAAGAAGTGTAAATCAAAAGTCATAGCTAATTAGAACTGTATATCTATTCAATGCTTTGTCAATATATTCACCTGGCACATTTTTAGAATCATTTCCGTTTTTAAAATTCTTTACTTGTAGCATTTCATTATCCCAGTAGCCAGATATATGTGTTAATTATCCAGATTATGTGTGGACAGTCACTGCAACATATACCTTTAGTTACCTCATTTTAAGATTCTTTTGAAAGGACACATTATCCATCCAGAACAATCCTGCAGCTACTTGAATCATTACAGGCTCTAGGGAAGGAGTTAGCTGCTCTCCCATGGGATTCAGCATGAACGGAATAGCACTATTAGTACCATAACTCCTTCCTCTGGCCCCGTTAACCATTCCCAGGAGACAGAAGGAAAAGCATATGAAGTCCATTGCTTATCAGAGCTGTGAGGTCAACAAATTATTATGCTTTCTTGCTTTTGAGTACAATGGGATGAGGAAGTATATCACAACTTTTGCTAATAAACCACACTCAAATTACAGTCTGTAAAGACACAAAATAGTAATCCACATTCTCTAAAGAATTATAGTGATTCCGTTCTTTTAAGGATGTGTTTCTAAGTTCAGTTACCAAAAGCAGTTATTTTTGTTGTGACATGTTTTATTTTCAAATAATTATTACCTTTGTAGAATGTTGAAAATTTAACTTAAATTGGAAATTGAAATGTACATATTAAGTAATATTCCAGTTTAAAATGGAAGAACTAGGGATTGGATGAAACAGAAATAAGTGAAACAAGAGTGATACAACAGTTTAAAGTTCTGTTCCAGGATCCTTTGAACCAAAACACTTGGCAGCTCCCCAAATCATGTTAATTGCCTTTTTGTGTATGCATTTCAGTAAGCCAGCTCATCGTTTTGGCTCAAGATGTAGTCGTTATAACAAGATTGGGAATATTTAAATATTCCTCCCTTTCATGTCTGTCCTATAGAACTAATAGTTTCTGAACACAGACTGTTATTTTGTGTTAAAAATATTTTCCTAGAATATAATTCATCTTTATAAAATAAACCATATAAAGAATACCACAACTGCCTATAAAAACACTTGTGATTATGGAATTAAAGTTTAAGGCATTTCAAATCCCCTGCTTCCAGAGATGAGAGTCATTTTGGCCCACAGGTCTAGAATTCCTGGCCTTTGGTAACATGGGATACAGACCTCAAGAGCAGAACACTCTCTTTACTCAGTTCCCTTTGTCACCAGCCCACCTTTATAGGGCCAAATGCCGACTGTTCATGCTTCATAATAGTGATGGGAGCCTTACAAATATATAGATTCCTCAGGAGACTCAGAATCTGGAGTCAAAAAAAAAAAAGAGCCTTATAAATCATTCTGTGCACCCCCTATTCAGGTGAGTGACCAAGAGTGCTTGAAATGCAAGAGTGGCAGCAGCCATTTCCAGGACACACATGTCAGCTGTGATACCCAGTCGTGTATGCCCTATGTCCTTCCCAGATCAACCTGCATGGCTTTGCAAGAAAAGACAAGTGACCTGTGTAATCTCTAGGTAGAGTTGTGCCCTCTAGAGTTTCTTGAACCACTCCCTGATGTATATTTACATACAACCATTACAACCACTGATGTTTTTAATAATTTTACTGAAATATCTTAATTCTGTAGGTTGAATGCATGATAACTGGAGCCATAAAAACATACCATATATTCTAAATCCGGCTTTCTTTCTATTAGTATGATGTATGCTTTTAATGTTCTTGCTCCTTATAAACTAAGCGGTGATAGAAAAGAGGGCTATTTTCCTTCTGATATGCGTATCAGGAGGATGAAGGAAGGCAATGAAGGAAGGACATTAAAATTTAAATTTTTTAACATTAAAAAATTGTCATTAGACCTCTAGTTTCCTCTTGATTCTCTACATTAAGAGCAGGGAACAAATGCATGGATACAAAAGAAATTTGAGTTTTATTTGGGACATTGCTATTGCTTAACTGCACATATGAGTGTGCTACTGCACACTCTAATCCTCTGGATTGAAAAGAATGAGTCCCTGAAGATCTGGAAGGGGATTGGGCTTCCTCAGCTCCCTGTTCTCTTTCTACTTCAGGATGAAGTCACCCCCTCTTACATTGAACCTGTCTTATATTGCTGCTTTGTTTTTAATATTTCACAAAAAATATGGAATTTTTTTGTTTTGCTGAATAGGTCATTGACTTTGCTCAGTGATGTAATGCCTGGAATAATAAAAAAAATTGATATGTCATGACAACAAATTAATGACCAATTACTATGTGTATTGGCCATATGGTAATAAAATCTGAAAGTAGCTCTTCATTTCATTTGGATGATTGGACATTCCTTTTATCTAAACCAACAATGAAAATAAAAACTGACTCACATTCCCAGAACCTAAAATTTAGGGCATTTTCTAAAATAAATGACTATGTGGTTTTCAAATATCTGATTTATTTCTCTCTACTTTTGTTAGGAGTACTGTACTTCTGTGTTTTTTGGGGGAAAAAAATCTGGTGGGTTTTGCGCTAAAAAAGAACAAGAATATGAATGAGTCTATCCCAGAACTTCAGGCGCCAGCCGTCCTCATCGTTCTCCTTCCACATTCTCTCAGCAGCCTGTCTGCAGAGCCAACGACAGGGCTGAAAGGGTTTATCCAAGCAGAGGAGTTCAGTTAGGAAATTGAGGGGACACCATAAAAAGCATTGAAATGAGATCAATCTGGGAAAGAAAGGAAAGTGAGAATTCTACAAGCCTCCAAGAACTGGCCTCAGCTTATCCTTAACCCTTCTCTCCCAAAGAGGGCTCCTGAGGGGTGCTCTTCTCATCCTCCTTTTCCTCCATTCACGGGCATCCAGAGCCACCTCAGGTTCCTGGCTAGCGCTTCTGCTTGTGCATTCTCTCCGTGTCCAGCACCTTTCACCTTTCCTCACTAAGGCTTATCCTGAGGATTCTCCTGCTTAAAGCAGTCTGTGATCCCTAGGACACTAGATTGTGTGTCCTGGCTTTAGATAGTTAGGGAAATCTACTCACATTGATCTCGGCATTTGCCGTATCCTATCGGGATTATTTATGCGTAGGCCTTTCTCTCTCATTACACTTTTAAGTCTTTGAGCAAAGAGTGATTCATTATTATAACTATACTTGTAAGCCAATGCTGTGTGCTTAATCCCTGGCAAAACAGTATACAGTAAATGTACATCTCAACTAAAGCCAAAAGGTGCATTTTCATGTACTGGACAGGGAATTTATTGGTCATGAGAATAATTGACTTATTTAAATTACTACATATGTCTTCAAGTTTTAAGTGGTTCTCCAAAAATAAACTGTATCCAGGATTCTGACCACGTCTCAAGAGTCAATTCATGCATATTTATGTACATGTAACCCTTGTAGACTATCTCTTTTATTTTCAAATAATGATTGCTTGTGTATTTGTGTGCATGTAACCCTGGGCCAGGGATGTAGCTAAATGGTAGTACTCTTGCCTACCACGCATGAGGTCCTGAGTTTTATCCCAGGGTGTGTGCACACATGCGCGTGCACACACACATACACACACACTCAAATCCTCCAGGATGAGTCATAAGGCAATAATGTTTGAGTCTCATGTTTTTAATATCTCCTGTATTTGTTAACAAATTTATTTGGATTCCTGAGCATAGATTAAATAAAGACAAGGAATGTTATTGCCTTAGAAAATAGATAATATAATGTGAAGATAAATGTAAGGAAGGAAATCTAGTAAATGAAGGGAGAATTTGGAAAAGATTGAAATATATAACTAATGAATCTTTGAAATTTATCTTCTGTACAAATGGATTTTTGTAAATATTGTGAATGTCTAAAATCCTATAGAATCCATATTAGTCAGCTTTCTGTTATTATAACAAAAAGCCTGAGATGATCAACTTAAAAAGAGGAATAGTTTATTTTAAATCAAAGTTTTGGAGGTTTTAACCCATGCTCAGTTGGTACTGTGGCTTTTGGGCCTGTGGCAAGGCAATACATCATGGCAGGAGGTTATGGGCAGAGGAAAGAGAGAAGGAGGAGTCAGGATCCCATTATCCACTTTCAGAATATGCCCCCAATGACTAATACTTCCCAGTATGCCCCACCTCTTAAAGGTTTCTATGGTCATTCAATTGCACTAAGCAGGGGAGTCACCCTTAAACACTTGGGCCTTTGGGGAAAATTCAAGATACAAACTATAGCAGAATCTCAGGCTGACATTAATTAAAATGTTTAAGGGTTGGGCATGGGAAGAGTGTTTTCATCTGATTTTGTTTTATATTCTACTTGGAATGGTTGTACAACTCTTTATTACACCTATATCTTGCTAAATATTTGTCTGTTCATCAATAGCAAGTACACAACCACTTCTTTCTGACTTAAGTAAACCTAATTCTCGATTTAGAGATAAGAAGAAAATCCTAAAGCCAATACTCAAAGAAAGCAATGCTCGGTTTTACAATATTCAGCATGGACTATTAGCTGAAAAGCCACTGCAAAAAGCTGCCTCTTACTTCTACTATGTAGGACTGTGAAAATGGAATTAGTCTAACTCATAATTCTTCAATCTTCTCTCCTTTAGTGGTATTGGAAGGAACTGGCCCTGGGCATCAGGAGGCAGCAGTATTCTGGCAGAATTTGGAACACTGCATTTGGAGTTTATGCACTTGAGTCATTTATCAGGAAACCCCATTTTTGCTGAAAAGGTGAGATTCTCTAGTACAAATTGCATTGCAAAGCAGGTCTTATGAGAAATAATATCCTCTCCTGGGAGACTTGGTAACACTGGATGTGGAAAATAGCCACCAAGGTTCATACAGCTCTTTAGGAAGTTTGGTAATATGAGCATTTCATTTGACTGTAAACCCCCAGTCTTTCCATGGCACCATCTGACTCAGGAGGAGAAGTCCTGGTTTCCACATTTGCTCTCTGTACTCTAAGTTACTTCATCTGATTTTTTTTTCCTTGTCTAAAATATATAATGTTGCATGGACTATATGAGGCAAGCATGTAAAAGGCTTAAACTCAAAGTGTTATACAACTGTGAGGTAAGACTTGAATTGATTTCGAGTTTTCAGAAAGAAAATGCATAGATATTTAGATAAATTCATATCCACCCCCACAACTCTGTCCTTAGCTTTCACCCCACTTTTCTGCTCCCCTTTATAACAATTCCTTGTAAAGCTTTATCTGTTGTCTTCTCTTCTTGTCTCCCACTCTTGAACCCTGTCCACTTGGGCTTTTCTCCCATTGACACTTAACACAATGATCAATGAGTGCCACATTGTCGAGGCCATTTGTCACTCACCCCTTTGTCTTCCCTGCCCTCTTCAAATTCAGTATAGCTGGTCAGTTCCTTCTTCATAAGGCACACTTTGCCCTTGTCTGCAGGCATGTAAAACTCTACTGGTTTTCCCCCTTCTTTGCTGGGTGCTCCTTCTTAGACTCTTTTCTTGGAACCTATCGTAGCCTGTAAGCATTGGAAAGCACCAGGACTCAAACCTGGTCTCTTCCTTGTTATATTCCCTTCCTACATTGTCTCATCCACTGTCAGGGCTTTATATACCATCTCTATATTGACCCACTGTTTATAATTCCAGTCCCAGCCTGTACCTTGAACTTCGGATTCTGTACACAATATTTATTCAACATCTCCACTAGGAGGCCTAATTGACAAGTCCCACTTAAAATCCCCAGTCCCAGACCCAACCCCAGACAGACTTCTACACCAATTTACCATTTGGGCAAATAGCACATCAGTTTATCCAGTGGCTCAGGCAAAAGATGTTGAAGTCATCCTCTTTCTGTAAACCCCAGGTCTACTCCATCAAGAAGCCTCTGGCACTATCTTTTTGCCTCTGCTGCCACCCTGGTCCAGGGCCTGTTGTTTCTCACCAGGACTCTGCAGTGGCCACCTGACTTGTGGTTCCTCTCTTTCCCCCCTCCCCTCAGTCACACCAGTTCTATAAAACAGTAAGCCTTTGCTGATACTCAAGAGTAATAACAGCACTTATTGTTCCCTGTGAGGCCTGTGTGCCTGGGCACTGCCCACTCTCCCAAGTGCTTGCCACCATTCTCCCCTTTACTTCCTCACCTCTGGCCTCAGTGGCCTTACCAAACCCACTCTCTTCTCAGGACTTTTATATTCATTCCTCCCTCTGATCAAATGCTCTTCCTTCACATTTCTCCATGATCTGCCCCCTCACTTCTTGAAAATTCTACTCAGACACATCAGCCTTCCTAGGCCACCCTGACTAACAGCATACAGCTTCTCCACTTCACTCTGCTCTGTACTGTTACCCTCTGTCTTAGCTCAGGTTTCCCTAACATAAATGCATAGATTGGGTGCTTTTAAACAACATAAATTTATATCTCACTGTTCTGAAGGCTGTGGAATCCAAGATCAAGATGTGAACAAGGCAGTTTTCAATCTTGGGTCTCTTGACTTACTGTCCTACCACTATCCTATCATGTGCTCAAATGACTTTTTATTTTTATACAGAAAGAAAGAGAGACAGAGACACAGAGAGAGATATCTTGAGTCTCTTTTAAGAGCAATAATTCCATCGTAAAGGCTCTACCTCCTGACCTAATTACCTCCCAAAGCCCTATCTCCATAGAGCTTCAACATATGAATTTGAGAAGGGATGTTATTCGTTCCATAGCACCTTTTTAAAATTATTTTTATGACATTTCTATTGACAGACTATTTTTATTTGCTTTTTTTTCCTGTATCATCCCAATAGTATGTAAAATTCTAAGAGACCAGTGACTTTGTTTACCCACTTATATCCTTAGTTCATAGTATGGGGTCCAGATATGGTAAATAATCAGTGTGATCATAGTCACTACTATTATTTTTGCAACAATAGCTGATGGCAGTTATTTTTGTTCTAACTTGTCATCATTTAAATCCACTTACTTTTTCTAGAGTGGCAAAATAATCAAGAAAGGACAACATGAAAATTTGTTCATAGTAACACTTCATTTTCTGTTGTAGGTAATGAATATTCGAAGAGTCCTGAACAAATTGGAAAAACCAGAAGGCCTTTATCCTAACTATCTGAACCCCAGTAGTGGACAGTGGGGTCAACGTAAGTCAAAAGATTAGCATTCCTTTAGCTCTTCGTGGTACCCGGCACTGTGCTTGGAGCAGAAAGAGGGAATACATCTCTTGTTGAGGAATGTTTAATAAAAAGAGAAAAGAGGAATGGTTCCTTCAATAAACCAGTATCTATCATAAGACAGATTGTGTTATATGGAAACTGGACAATTGACTTTCCATGTGTAACTGTAAGTATGACATGTGAGCACATTCAAAAGTATTCTTCAGAAAGGGAAAGCCTGGTGGGGGTGTGTGTCATATCAGTCCCTAACAAACTGACCACGTGGCAGGAAGGAGAATGTATTCCTCTCTGCTAATGATGAGGGTTTTGCCCAGAGCAGCTCATTCATCCCACTTCATTACGTTCTCTGCCTTTCTGCATGGAGATGCGAACAGGGTACTTTTTCTACTTAATTTAAAAGCCACCAGATAAAGATTTCTTGCCAGAAGAGTTACTTTTAATGTGGGAATAAGCATTATACAAGGACTTGTGATGCCTGAAGCGCTCACTTCAGAGTCTTCAGATAATTTCAAGCAGGTTATAGAGACTTGAGACTAAGTGAAAGAAATGTTCTCAATCTAATTTGGATAAAATGGTGGTAGACTAAGCAGCAGCTGAAAATAAGTAAAGAATATTACATGAGTTGCCTGGCTGTGGTGAGAGTTTTGGCATTGCCTTATAATTTTACTCTAATTTGTGATTTTTCATTATACTTAAATATCTCATTCTTAGATGATTGTGCTTCTCTATTATTTTGGAAGTGCCTCTTTAACGATTAACTAAGTAGGAAAAAAAGTATGCTAAACTCTATATCCATGTTAATGATGGATAGTTGTGAAGGTTGCCATTTATTCAGTGTAGTCTACATGTCACAGAAGTCCTAGGGGTCCACAAGATCAAGAGCACTCTGATGATAATATGGAAACTTTCCAGTTTTTCGCTGCGCTGACATCTGCACTCAAGTTGCAAGAGCAGCAGTGGCTAGAACTACCAAAACCTCAGTGAGAATCAAGGCAGACACCAAACAATACTAATACTCATTATATTCTTCACCACAGTTTAAAAAGAGAGAGAGAGAGAGAGAGAGAGGTTTTTTTAATATTCTTTTTTTTATTTTTTATTTGTTCTTTTTAGTTATACATGACAGTAGAAAGTATTTTGACATATCATATATACATGGAGTATCGTTTCCCATTTTGTGCTTGTACATGATGTAGAGTTTCACTATTCACGTATTCATATATGAACATAGGGAAGGTATGTTCAGTTCATTCTACTGTCTTTCCTATTCTCATCCCCCCTTCCTTCTTCCCACTCCACCCTGGCCAATCCAATGAACTGCCCCTTCTCCCTCCTCCTTTCTCCTCCACCTATTGTGAGTCAGCATCCACATATCAGAGAGAACTTTCACAGCCTTTGGTTTTGGGGGAGTGGTTTATTTCACTAGCATGATAGTCTCCAGTTCTGTCCATTTACTGGCAAATGCCATAATTTCATTCTTCTTTATAGCTAAATAATGTTCCATTGTTTATATATACCACATTTTCTTTATCCATTCATCTGCTGAAGAGCATGTAGGTTGGTTCCATAACTTGTTTATTGTGAATTGAACTGCTATGAACAGTGATGTGGCCTCATCACTATAATATGCTGTTTTAAGTTCTCTGGGTATATATGAAGGAGAGGGATAACTGGGTTAAATGGTTGTTCCATTCCAAGTTTTCTAAGGAATCTCCATATTGATCTCCAGTATGGAGTGGTTGCACCAATTTATACTTCTACCAGCAATGTACCTTTTTTCCTATATCCTCGCCAACATTAATTGTTACTTGTATTTTTGATAATTGCCAGTCTGATTGGAGTGAGATGACATCTCAGTGTAGTTTTAATTTGCATTTCTCTAATTGCTAGAGATGTTGAGCATTTTTCATATATTTTTTGACCAGTCATATTTCTTCTTCTGTGAAGTGTCTCTTCAGTTCCTTTGCCATTTATTCATTGAGTTATTTGGGGTTCTTCTGGTGTTAAGTTTTCTGAGTTCTTTATATATCCTGGACATAAATGCTCTATCTGAGGTGCAGGTGGCAAAGATTTTCTCCCATTCTATAGGATCTCTCCTCATGTTCTTCATTGTTTCCTTTGCTGTGAAGAAGCTTTTTAGTTTGATACCATCCCATTTATTGATTCTTTTACTTCTTGCACTTTAGAAGTCTTGCTGAGGAATTTGTTTCCTAAGCCTACATGAGGGAGAGTTGGGCCTACTTTTTCTTCTAGTAGGTATAGGATCTGTGATCTAATACCTAGGTGCTTGATCCACTTTGAGTTGAGTTTTGTGCAGGGTAACAGATAGGAGTCTAATTCAATTTTGTTACATACGGATTTCCAGTTTTCCTAGCACCATTTGTTGAAAAGGCTATCTTTTCTCCAATGTATTTATGATGATATAATTGTGTTTGTGTGGGTTTGTTTATGTGTTTTCTATTTTGTACCATTGGTCTTCATGTTTGTTTTGGTGCCAATATCATGCCAGTTTTATTACTGTAGCTCTGTAGTATAATTTAAAGTCTGGTATTGTGATGCCTCCTGCTTTACTTTTTTCACTGAGGATTGCTTTGGCTATTCTGAGTTTTTTATTTTTCCAAATGAATTTCATGATTGCTTTTTCTATTTCTATGAAGAATGTCATCAGAACCTTAATAGGAATTGCATTACATCTGTTTAATGCTTTTGGTTAATATGGCCATTTTGATAATATTAATTCTTCCTATCCAAGAACATGGAAGATTTTTCCATCTTCTAAGATCTTCATCAATTTCTTCCTTCAGAGTTCTGTAGTTTTCATTATAGAGATCTTCTACCTCTTTTATTAGCTTGATTCCTAAATATTTTTTGAGGCTTTTTTTGTGTTTTTTTTTATTTGTTTTAATTAGTTACACATGGCAGTACAATGATCTCGACATATCATACATTTGAATCAGATGGGATATAATTTCTCATTTTTCTGAGTGTACAGGTTGCAGAATTACATTGGTCATGCAGTCACGTATATACCCACAGAGGCTATTTGTAAATGGGATAGTTTTCCTAATTTCTCTTTCGGTTGACTCATCACTGATGTATAGGAACAAAATTGATTTATGGGTGTTAATTTTATATCCTGCTACTTTGCTAAATTCATTTATAGGTTTTAGAAGTTTTCTAGTGGAGTTTTTTGGGTCTTCTAAATATGGAATCATATAGGGCTGGGGTTGTGGCTCAGTGGCAGAGTGCTTACCTAGCATGTGTGAGCACTAGGTTCGATTCTCAGCACCATGTATCAATAAATAAAATAAAGGTCCATTGACAACTAAAAAATTGTTTTTAAATATGGAATCATATAATTGGCAAATGGAGATACTTTGAGTTCTTTCTTTCCTGTTTGTTTCCCTTACATTTCTTCTGTCTAATTGCTCTGGCTAGAGTTTTCAGGACTTTGTTGAATAGAAGTGGTGAAAGAGGGCATCCCTTTCTTGTTCTAGGTTTTAGAGTGAATGCTTTCAATTTTTCTCCATTTAGATTTATGTTGGCCTTGTGTTTAGTATTTATAGCTTTTATAAGGTTGAGGTATGTTTTTATGAATATTCTTAATGAAGCAGTATATTAATTATTGATTCTAGTAAATGTCAACTCTTGAGTCCATGTCATGGTAATGTCTGTATAATGAAATGAATGTCTACAGAAAGCAATTCTGCTATATAATGAAAAATAGTAGTTGCAACACATGTGATTGAGTTGAAAAGTTATTGTTGATTATCGATTATTATTGTTAGTTGCTTTGAGATCATTGTGATTATTGTTTCATGGATCACCACCTTTACTTGAAAGAATGGCTAAAAACAAATTGGTTATTCAGGCTTGGGTAATTAGTAGACATGGTCTCAAAAATGAACCTGTCACTTCAAGAAAAAGTGACAATATTTGTGTCAACGATGATAAAATAAAAATTAGAATTTTGGAAAACTTGTATATGCCCCCATGTGCTTGATACCAATAGTGTTCCTATATGATTAGTGGTAATATTAATAAATGTTTTTTTCATATTGTATAATGAAATGTGTCAACACTTGGAAGATCTGCATAACTCAACCAATCAGTATTTTCCAGATGACCAGTGCATGCTATTACAGAACCATGCATGAGAGAAAGATCCACTCAAAGTGAAAAATAGACTAATAGATTTTTATGTAACACAGTACAGAAATTCTTCGGTATAATTTCTGATGCTACAGAACAACTAAACTTTTAAAAAATTTAACCTTTAAAAACCACATGTCAGGGCTGGGGATATGGCTCAAGCGGTAGCGCTCTTGCCTGGCATGCGTGCGGCCCGGGTTCGGATCCTCAGCACCACATACAAACAAAGATGTTGTGTCTGCAAAAAAAAAAAAACTAAAAAATAAATATTAAAAAATTCTCTCTCTCTCTCTCTCAATCTCTCTCACTCTTTCTAAAAAAAAAAAAAAAAAAACATGTCAAATTCTATCATATTATCAAAGAAAAATATCCACAATTATCTGAAAACAATTTTATATATACTATTCTTCCTTTTTCCAACTATGAAGCTCTGCAGCTTACTTTTCTGCACATATCTTAGCCAAACAACATGTAGCAATGGATTGAAATTAGAGCAGATGTGAGAACCCACCTGTCTCTAGGAAGGCAAACATTAAAATTTGCAAAAATGTAAAACAATGCCAGTCTTCCCACTAACTTTTTTGTGGTTGTTTTGTAAAATATCACATTTGCATGAAAACTATTTATGTTTACATAATGGATGTATAATCGTTATTTTTAATGAATCAACCAACAAAAATGCTTTTAATGTATCTTGATTTGCCAGTATGATAAATATTGATAGATATTACTCGCATAAACAAGTTCTTCAGGGTACCCTTTATTTGTAACAGTGTAAAAAGTGCTGAGACTAAAACATTTCAGGGCCACTAGGACTGCTGAGATAGACGATGTTCTGCTATGATTCTCTAAATTGGTAACCATTGTTGGAGTCCTCTTCATTGCAGATTTCAAAAGCTGAAGAATAGTCTTCCTGATTTACTATTTTCTCTCTTTAATTTAGGATATAGAAGTCACTATAAAGAGGGAAAGAAAGAGCCAGTTGTGTTGGAACATCCTGGCTTCACCTTCCAGGTCACTCATATACTATATATTTGGCCCAGTTTCCTGATACAAAGAGTCCTTTATGTTTGGATTGCTTATGGGCCGATTTCCTAATGGGAAAACAAACAGCATTGATGAGTCTCATGTCCTTCTCCCCCATCCTCCATCCTGTGTTTCATCCACAGAGACACACTTTCTTCTTTTTTAACCAAGGCCTGCTTGGCCATATCTACATCTTGTCCTCTGTCTTTAGCCCTTCAGCCTCTCTTCTTCCTCTACTGAGGCCCAGCTTGATTGCCATTCCTTCCAGAAGCCTTCTTCTTCAACACCCTGCTTGGAATTTGAAGCTTCCTCTATCTCTTTCTCTCCTACCCGGCTCTTTGAACACTTACCTGTAACAATCCTTTTTCCAATGACTTACCTACATGCCCTTCTTCCCAGGGATCCAGAGCTTTGCAAGGTGGCAACCCCGTCTTGTTCATATTTGTCAATCTGGCACACTGTATCTTGTACCTAGTGGAGGTTTACTTAATTGAATTTTGTGAATACTGAAGTGTTTTGTATCTGATCTTTCTGCCTCTGCTTTTACTAATGATTCTCTTTATTCTAATAGTTGCCCGCCCTGGGTCCTCAGTTGTAGCTGAGAAGCATCTTCCTGTCCTGGCCCCTGATAATATAAACAGGTTTTGTGGCCATTGATGGTGGGTGTGGGATTACATGTTTATACACAGAACAATTATCTCACATATAAATAACAAATGTGTGTGTATATAATTAATATTGTTGAGGAATGGTTTCAAAATCAAAATTCAGATTCAGATTAAAATCTACAAGCAAATTAAGAAGTAGAGATATTGACTATTTAATCTTCCTTTGTCTTACTGCTTTTGTTCTTTATTTTGTTTTATCTCCCTTTTTTATATTAGAAATACTAGATATTAGAAAAATTATATATTAGAAATTATTTAAAGGGAACTGTTCCCATCACAAAGAAAACCGTAACTTACCCCTTCAGAGAAGAACATAATATTCGCATGACTACAGTATACAGTTAGAATAAAAATACCATATATGTTCCTCTAAAAAATGGCAGTATTTTTCTTCTGAAAAATTAGGTGCTTTCTCTCCTACATCCACAAAGATGTTTACACAGTTTGCTAATGCAAACTGTCATCCAGGCCCTGGGGAAGTTTAGTGAGGGGCATGTTAATTATCAGAAAGACATGTTTCACCTTTATGTTCCTTTATTTTGATTTTTTTAACAAATGTGAAATTTTTATAGGCAAAACATTTTAAAAGTTAACTAGCATTTACCAGTATCAAAGTAAATATATTATTACGCAATCCTTTTTCCTTTTTTAAAAATCTCCCAGTGCCCAAACCTGTTTCTTCCATCCATTACAGAATCATAACCCAAGGGAAAAAATTACCACGCTGCTTCTGGCTGCTGGTTTTCAGCTCTTGTTGCTGTAACTCTGAAGGACACATCTGGATCATGGCCATCATTCCCCATTACTTCATTTAGGCCCTGTTATTTTGACAGTAACCGGACAGTGATTTGCTTTACGACGCATCACTTGCATTTGTCTCCTACAATCATGTTTATGACAACAGGGCTTATTATTGACGAGATAGTACGTAGTCTATTTAGTTTGTAAATGTCAGAGGTTTCTGCCGTGATTTATTTAGGAAACTGTAAAGGTCACTTCAAACACTGCTTATTTTGAGAATCAGGCTCACATTTTCCCATTAAGATTAATTAATGTAATTCTGGACTTTCTGCAATAAGGAAGTTGCATATTTCAATACTTAACAATATGGCCCTCATAGCTTGATGAGAAGTCAATATTTAAGGCTGGCTTAGAATAATTTTGGTTTTCTTCTCAGTTGTTTATTGAGTGCAAGATACTTTGTAGGGGCGGGTGTGGACTGGGAGACAGAATGGGCCTGGTTTCTGTTCTCTTGGGTCATAATCTTGTAGGAATGGCAGAAAACAGTTCTACTACATTGTGAAATTACAAGTGTGTTAAATGTGTGTTATCACAAAACTTGTGACAGAGAACCTAGTGGAGACATCAGGGAAGACTTCTCTGAGGAAGTATCCTAGATATGAAGTATATGCATTTTGGGCAGAAGCCCTGAAGTGGGATGGAGCCTGATATTTTTGAGGAAGGGCCATACAGCAAGTGAATGGAGAGCAAGTGGAACAAGACTGATAATACAGAGAAGAGTGAGAGCTTGTAGGGGGCTTCTTGGTCTTCAGAAACACAGAATTGAAGGGCTTCAAGTAATTGGTCAGGATTTCTGCCACATTAGTGTGGGGAATAGACTGGAGTGGTACTGCTGGTAGAGCCTCCTGCACTTGGTGGCAATGTTCTATATCTTTCCTGTCCAGTGTAGTAAGAGTTACCTAGAGCTACTGAGCACTACCATGGCTGAGGAACTGAATTTTCTATTGAATTTAAATACATTTCAGTAGACATAGCACACACTTCCAGAATGAAAGCAGGAAATAAAGTAATTGCACATTTCAGAGGCAGAGGTAGGAAGTAGTGGTGGCTTGAACCAGGAAGGTACTGGTGAGGAGAGAGGAAGGTAAATGGATTCAAGAGATAGGTGGGAAGTAAAATTTAGAGTTTGGGAATTCATTGTGTGTAGAAACAAAAGAGAGAAGTAGTAAAGAATGACTACTTGGTTTCTTTTTTTGTAGTACCCAGGTCCTCGCATGCTAATCAAGCACTGGACCACTGGGCTATACTCCTAGCCCCATTGACTACCAGATTTCTAAGGGTATAGATGGGAGGATGGAGACCTGGGCAGAAGATAAAGCTCAGGAGGAAAAGATAATGAATTCAGTATCTAGTCTCTTTGATTTTAGATGCCCATATAGAATTCCAAGTGGAGTTGTTGGGAAGGCATCAGAACAGTTGGCCCCCCTCCCTCTCTCCCTCTTTCCCCCTCTCTCTCTCCCCCTCTCCCCCTTTTCCTCTCCCTATACTTACCCCCCTCTATGTATATGTATATATGTATGGTTTATTTTGTATAACTATGTCAACAAGTGAGGATCTTATTTTTTAAATAGATAAACAAGTTCTGAGTTATAAACCTTTAAAGGCTATCTTGTTTATCTCAAATTCTCTGAATTCTAGAAATGATGTTTTAAATAGGTTGCATTTTTTTGGTTTATAAACAAGTATGCTTGAAAAATAAAAAATATTAATTCAAGCCATAGGGAAAAACATACATATGTCTTTGATATTCTGTGATGTCGAGGAGGCAGATCCTAACATGAGGCCCTGTGTGGGTTGTGGAGTCAGATGGCACTGATCAATGTTGTAGTCTCATTTAGCTTCTCTAAGCCTCAGTTTTCTTGCTTTTAAACTCAAGATATGGGCCTACAGTTATAGGGAGTTGGTTGTATTTCCAGTGTGTTGGGCATAATAAATGGCAGTGGAAGTAGATTGTAAGAATGAAGCTTTAGGAGGAAACACTTCTGCTGCCATCTCTTCTTTCTTACTGTCCCTACCTCATCAGTTTTTAACCTTTCAGATTCATAGCACTAGAAAACTTATCAAATAAAAAAAATAATAATAATAATAAAAGGCAAGAGCCTAAGGAGTGTCTTGTTTTACTAGTCACTTCTTAAGATTTGCTAATACTCATAGGTTTGACAGAATTTTATATTATCCAGAAATAAAACAAATAAAAATTTATTGAAATACATACTGTAAAGCATTTTAAGTTGATATTTTTAACTAAATTTTTAGAATTAGGTATCATTACATATCTTTTATCATCATGTTTACAAAACTACTCTGGTAATTATTAAGAGCATATCACATTAATTCACAATCCATCTGCTTATTTCAGAATATCTGAAAATAAGAGATTTGTTGAAATTCAAATGTAACAAGCTGCAGTCGACACGGGATTTTGCACCCTAGTTGCTAATGTGATTTCGCTGCATTATCTGAATTAAAAGCTGAGTCACTCTGAAATTCATTTCCTTCTTTTTTCAGATCATGTGTCAGTTGGAGGACTTGGAGACAGCTTTTATGAATATTTGCTCAAGGCATGGTTAATGTCTGACAAGAGAGATCTGGAAGCTAAGAAGATGTATTTTGATGCTATTCAGGTAACCTGATATTTAAATCATCTTCGCCACTCAGCTCTAACTTATAACTTGCATATTAATCAAGCTTTAATGAAAAAATGAAATACTACATGAGTGGGTTACGAAATTATTTCCTGTGAGGCAGAGTGCAGTGTCTGCCAATATAATTGTAACAATAGTTATCATAGGTGATATTCTTAGTTCTAATTTTTTTGGTGTTTTGTTGTTGTTGTTGTTGGTTTGTTTTGGTGGGTTAAACCCAGGGCCTTGTGCATGCTAGGCAAGCACTCTACCAACTGAGCTATATCTCCAGCCCCCATGTCCTTAGTTCTAATAGAGCAGTTGTAGTATTTTAGCATGGTTCAAACCTCACAAGCCATGTGTCTAAAAAAGAGTCATGCATCATGTAACATTTCAGTTAGTGACAGACTGTATATATGACAGTGAGCTCTGGAAATTATATTGCCTAATGACATCATAGCTTAGTTTGTACACTCCATGATATTCACACAATGAAGTCACCTAACTGCACCTTGCTCAGAGTATATCCCCTCATTAAGAAAAGCAAGTCTGTATTCTTTCTTCATGAATATGAGTTCCCTTTCTTGAGCTATATATTAAATTATGGGAGAAAATCTTGAATTTATACTCTGAAAATTGTCTAAATTAAAATTGCCCAAGATTATAGACAGTCTCAAAGTAAACGTGTTTCCAGAGATAAATGGTACTGAAAAGAAATCTAGACATAAAATTATATCTCAACAAACTGGTATTTAAGGAAAGCTCATTAAGAGCTTCAAAAATCATAATACAGGAGGAGTAAGAGGGAACCAGTACGTATTAAACTGTGTACTGTGTGTTGAGCAGTGTGATATGTAGGTATTTTTAATGAAGTGAAGAAGTATAGTTTTCTTTCTCATAGTACTTTAAATATTCACCCAAATTTACAGATAAGGTTGTCGAACCTCAGAGAGGTTATGTGACAACCAAATTCAAACTAAAATTTGTTAACATTTGCCCCTTTTTATTTTACCACTGTGGATTTATTTGTGAATAAGAATCCCCATACTATATTTAAGGGTTTATTTATAGGCAATAAGTTACTAAGATAAATTAGAAATTACTTAGTATAGTCTATAGGAGGTAGCTAGTAAAAAGTAAACTAAGAAACACTACCAACGAAACACAGGGAGAAAAATTAAGGTTAGAATGTAACAGATTCAAGAAAAGAATTATTTTATATAAAATACTTGTACATGTACCCCAGTTTTCAGAAACCAAATTTTTAGCAGGATTGGGTCCCTTTGTGATTAGGAATTGTGGATGGTTAATTCACATATATTCTTTAAATATTAATCGTTATCAAGATTTCTCAATAGTATTATTAAATTGTGGCTAAATCCTCAGAAAATTGATCTTTTTCTTGACTGCTTAGAAATGTTCTTTTTTTCAATCGATAGTATTAATTTATAGGAAAAAAAAGTAAATGGCCACTAATATAGCTGCTGTTCTAAATTTGGTCTCTCTGACAAGAGTTTTGGATGATTTTGACATAGATGGATTTATTGTTTAAACATAAATGTAGTTTATATTTATAAATACTTTGATTAAATGGATTGACTATTCTATTGGTACATCACTGGGAGCTTCACTAAGCAAAGCACATACAGTTAGTTACTCCATGTACAGGAATCATGAATACCTTAGCTAGAACTTTGGCCTTTATTTGGCCCAGCCTTTATTAAAGACATATGATGTACATCAGAAACAAATTAGGAGCCAGAGAGAAATAGAGACAAAAAACGAACTGGAAAAACGTTCATGGCAAAACTTTGTTCTTCGAGTTATTGTGTTTCCCATAGTTTGGTTTTCCAATTGTCATATATTTCAAGAGACAATGTATTTCTCTGTTCCTCTCCACTAATTTACATGAGTTTCTGTCACTTACAAGCAATGGGATCCTTATTAATAAACTGTCTTGAGAGGTTGTAAATAAATGCACACATTATTTTGCTTCTTAAAAAAAAGGACTTCTCGATTATTAGGAAAAGCTTTTTTATTTTTTATTAATTTAGTTATTTATTTTGAATCCAAGAAAGATTTATTTTCATATATGTGTATATATATATATATATATATATATATATATATATATATATATGACAACAGAATGCATTACAATTCTTATTATACATATAGAGTACAATTTTTCATATCTCTGGCTGTATACACAGTATATTCACAAAATTCATGTCTTCATACCTGTACTTTGGATAATAATGATCATCACATTCTACCATCATTAATAACCCCATGCCCCCTCCCTTCCCCTCCAACCCCTCTGCCCTATCTAGAGTTCATCTATTCCTCCCATTGCTCCCGCTAAGATTTATTTTCTCAATCAGCTGGGCTGGGAAGTTTGGTCTTAGCAACTTTTTGTCAAACTTACCTGCCTCCCTCCTTCCCTCTCCTGTCCCTCCATCCCTCCTTCCCCCCCCCCCATTTCTTTTTCTCTCTTTGTTGCGCAGCCAGGAAAAGCTTTTTAGATATACAGTACTACCTTTGGGTACTTTCAAAATTGAATTCCCCAAAAAGGAAATCATTGCTGAAATATTCTGTTTCGAGATGGTTAAGAGAATATAATGAACAATGTAAATACTCATTATATATGTATTTTTAAACAGTATGCTCGTTTGAGGTGTCTCTTCTTTGTACAACACAAATCATGCTGTAAATACTTTTTATATTTTGTGGAAATAAATAAAAATAAAGAAATGATTGTCTTGTAACAAAAAAAAAAAAAAATTGGGATATTGCCCATTGCCCATGTGGCCTTACCCTCATTTGGTAACACTAGAAAACTCCTTCCTAAGAAGTTTATTTTTCCTCCTTCTTATAGGATTTCAGGTTTTTGTCTAGGGAATTCTTAATGTATTATAATTTCTACTATGTCATCTTCTAATTACCATACTGGCAGACATTTTAATTATTCTAATATTAAGGTGGCCCTCTTAAAATTAGAATCTTAAGATCTCAATATTCCAAGAAGGACGGCTTTAAAATATTCTTTTTAATATTTCCTTTCAGTTTCTGGAACTCTACCCATGCAACTTTAGTATATTCTGTTTAGGCAAATCATTACCAGGAAAATTCATTAAGAATACATGAAGTCAAAGTGTTTCCTGTTTGTCTTAATAGCAAAAACATTTTCAACCCATTTCATATTTTCAACTTAGGGAGAAAAGGTAGAACAACTAAACTTCTGATTTTGAGAAGTACTAATGTCATATATGACAAAATTTCTTTCTGCTAAATTGTACTTTAAAAGATCATCATACATCTATAGTCCCAACTACTTGGGAATATGAGCCAGGAGGATCTCTTGAGTCCAGGAGTTCAAGGCCAGCCTAGGGAACATAGGAAGACCCTGTCTTTAAAAAAAAAAAAAAAAAAAAATTATCACTATCAAGGGGAGGATGCCTTCCATTATCATTCAGGATAGTTGAGTTACTGAAGATATGGTTACTTAGTTTTAGCTTCCAGTGGATTCTGGAAACCATTTAATCCCAGAGGGATATGTTTTCTTTGGTTGGTTTAACAACAAAATACTTTTGAGATTTCAGCAGGTTGTTCTGGCCCTGTTGAGAGGCTACTCTTAAGAATCTACAATAGTGAATGATACTTGGACAGATGTTTTTCAAACATGGAAGGATTAAACCACAGAATAGGTAGTTCCTTTCTAATCAATTCTCCATAGTCTTAATATAAAAATTTATTAGAGTCACTAAAGACTATTTTTCATTCTTTTTTAAAATATTTTTCTAGTTATAGATGGATATAACACCTTTATTTTGTTCATCTATTTATTTATTATTTATTAATTGTTCTTTCCAATTTATTTATTTTTTGTTGATTTTTTAAAAATAAATGACAGTGGAATGCATTACAATTCTTATTATACTTATACAGCACAATTTTTCATATCTCTGGTTGTATATAAAGTATGTTGACACCAATTCGTGTCTTCTTACATGTACTTTGGACAATGATGTCTATCACATTCCACCATCCTTGCTAATCCCCTGCCCACTCCTTTTTCCTCCCACCCCTTTGCCCCATCTAGAATTCATCTATTCCTCCCATGCTCCCCTCTTACCCCACTGTGAGTCAGCCTCCTTATATGAGAGAAAACATTCGGCATTTTGGGGGGATTGGCTAACTTCACTTAGCATTATCTTCTCCAACGCCATCGAACCCAGTGCAAGGCAAGTGCTCTACCGCTAAGCCACAACCCCAGTCCCAACTATTTTTCATTCTTTATACTTACTTACATTTTCCAATTTCCACACAAAACCATTGCTTTGAAGATCTTGGAACTTCATTATAGTTTATTTTAAGGAGTGGCCTAGTTGGTCAGAATCCTGCCAAAACTAATATGGCACTTTATTTAGGATCCATAACATGGTAATAATGTTTCTCTAATCTATGCTCAAAAGCTATTACTCTTGCCATGTAGAAAGAATAATTTCTTGGGTGATGAACAAGTATCTGCTTGAAGGACTTTATTGCAATTTGCGTTATGAAAAGTGTAAATAGCTAAGATGTTCAGTTGCATTAAATAAGAATGAAATATTAATGTAATAACTAAATCATCAATAAAATTAGCTTAACCACAGTTAATGAGCACAGTAGCATGTTCATTTATTTTGTAACCATCTTGGTTTCATTTGTTTATTTCTAATAAAGGTAGAAAGGTTTTATCTACTTGTGTATTCATTTTAATTCATTCTTCTCTATCTACTATTCCCAAGTATGCTTCCTGAAAATCCTTCTTTGTGTTTGTGTTAAACCTCCTTTCATTTTATTTTATGTTTTAATTTTTTTATTTTTTCCATATTTTTATTGATGATAGTTGTACATAATGATGGGATTTGTTGTTACATATTCATACATGCACACAATATAATAGTATCATTTGGCCAGTATCACTCCCTAGAGCTTCCCACCTCTTTCCCCTTCTTCCACCCCTTGGTCCTTTTCCTCCATTGATCTCTTTTTCATTTTCATATTTTATTCCCCACCTCTCTTTTCCTTTTTCCTCTCTACTTTCTGTATATAAGAGAAAACATGGGGTTGGGGATGTGGCTCAAGCGGTAGCGCGCTCGCCTGGCATGTGTGCGGTCCGGGTTCAATCTTCAGCACCACATACAAAGATGTTGTGTCCGCCAAAAACTAAAAAATAAATATTAAAATTCTCTCTCTCTCTCTCTCTCTCTCTCTCTCTTAAAAAAAAGAAAAAGAAAACATATCTCTTGACCTTCTGAGTTTTACTTATTTCACTTTACATAATGGTCTCTAGTTCCATTCATTTTCCTGCAAGTGGCATAATTTTGTGTTTTTTTTTTTTTTTTTAATGGTGGAATAAAATGTCATTGGGTATGTATACCACATTTTTTTTATTCATCCATTGAAGGACACCCAGGTTGGTTACATAGTTTGGATATTGTGAATTGTTCTACTATAAACATGAGTATGCATGTATCCCTGGGGCACGATGACTTTAATTCTTAACAATAAATACCAAGGAATAAAATCCTTCTTTTTTGATAGTAGTGATAAGTATAGACACAATCATGGCCTGTTTCCCTCTGTGATATAATGGAGGGAACACTTTCTATTAGAGAAAATGGAAACTAATATAAACCAAATACTTTATTTTTGCTTTCTAAAATATAAGGATTATTATATTTCTCTGTCTAGATTTATTTCTATTTTCTTTTTTTCTTCATCTAGTTTTTAAAAATGTCATCAGTCCTTGAGCAGAAGTAAAATATGTTTTCTAATTCACTTTTTAAAAAATTTTTAGTTGTTGATGGACCTTTATTTATTTATTAATTTTTATGTGGTGCTGAGAATCAAACCCAGTGCCTCACACATGCTAGGCAAGCACTCTACCACTGAGCCACAACCTCAGCCCCTTTCTAATTCATTTCTAATTGGTGTATTATAATTGTGGGTAATAGTAGGATTCATTATTCCATATTTGTACATACATATAACAATTTGATCAATCTCATTCTTCAGTACCTTCCTTTGGTCTCTCCTCCTCCCTATAAGTCATTTTTATAAATGTTAGCATTTCTCTCATATTTAAAGATCTTTATTCTTTTTAAAATTATCTACTTATTATACACTAATGTGCTTTTCAGTAGAATGATTAGGAAAGAACTTGACTCAACAGTTACCACATTGGAGATATAAATGATGACAAATGACCTTTACCAAATGCCAATTTCAAACTGACTGCTTTATAAATACAATATTTCAGACTCCTCTCAGTAGATAGTATTATTCCCGTTATATGAATAAGAACACTAAGATTTAGAGCTATAATGAGCAAATTACCCACAGAATTCAGAAGAGGTGTCCGAGCGAGAATTTGAAGCCAATTAATCTAACTCTAGAATAGCCTCTCTTTGCATCTCTATTTTGCTACCTTTTTAGGTTGAAGGAAGGAAAGAAAGAGTAATGGCATCAGCCTAGATCCTATTAAAAGTATGCTTTATTCATCATCTCTAGTAAGACCTGGATTTTGAGGTGTTTCACCATTTGTGGACATAAAAATGCCAACTGTCTCTACCACACCAGTGGCCTGTCTTTGAGAAGGGGATGGATTTTGGGTTTTGAGGATAACATAGTATATATTTGGTCACAGAACGAAACAAAATTGACATCATTGGCCCAACCATATACATTCTAACTAATCAAACTAAAAAGGGCATTAGCTAGAAGAAGCACACCGAAAGCAATGACGTAACATTTATGGTTAAATTGGATTTGTAACACCAAACTCAAACTATATGTCATTTTTTAATTATAGTATAATAATACTATAGAATTTAGTATAAATTTGAGAAGACATTATACAATGTTAAAACAAGTATTACTTTCAGGCCATTGAGACTCACTTAATCCGCAAGTCTAGCGGGGGACTGACTTACATCGCTGAGTGGAAAGGGGGCCTCCTGGAACACAAGATGGGTCACCTCACCTGCTTTGCTGGAGGCATGTTTGCGCTTGGGGCAGATGGAGCACCTGAAGCCCTGGCCCAACACTACCTTGAACTCGGGGCTGAAATTGCACGCACCTGTCATGAATCTTATAACCGCACCTGTGAGTACATGTTATTCTTCATTTATAATCCATTCCCCCATTCCTTGAGTTCAATTGGTAAGGAACTTTGTCATTGTGGTCATCAAAAGAATATCCACTGGGCCTGGTGAGACAGATGACCACAATTAATATCTCTATATGTTTACTCTAAAAGGCACTGCTTTTATACTTAAAAGCATATACCATTAGTTTGCCAAGTAATAAAAATCAAGGCCTAAAGACTAAGCCAGCCTAACTTACTGACCCTTGCTTTAGCTCAACAGCATTGAGTAAGGGTCTCTGACCCAGTACAAAAAGAAACCATTTTATAAAGCAGTATTAACACTTTCCACATATCTTTCCCATAAAATAGACTATGAATCTGGCTGGCTTTCTTTTTATAAAACATGAGCTTGAAGCATAAAGATTAAATAACTGGTCTTTTGTGACAAAAATGACAGATTTCTTAGCCAGTGAGTTTCCAGCTAACTCGTAAGGTGTATTATGGTGCCTTGTGCTCACCTAATGGATACTCAGTAAATGGGGGTCAAATGAAAAAAAAATACAAAATTGTTACTATTTTATGAAGTTGATTCTTTTAGATGACTAAATTTGGAAGTATATTGAATATTGTGCATTACATAATGTTTATAACTAATCCAAAAAAATGATTGTTTTGGCATTCTGTCTTGAATGTTGTTAAGTATTTTCTAGTCCTTTTGAAGTTATAGACACAAAGCATTGTACAAACAATTATCCTTATTAACCTGTTGCATGTCCTTTAGTTATGAAACTGGGACCAGAAGCTTTCAGATTTGATGGCGGTGTCGAAGCCATTGCTACAAGGCAAAATGAAAAATACTACATTTTACGACCAGAAGTGATTGAGACTTACATGTATATGTGGCGACTGACTCATGATCCGAAGTACAGGAAATGGGCGTGGGAAGCTGTAGAGGTGAGGCTTTAATTTGCATATTTCTTACAGATCAGTGTCTCAATGAAAAATGTTCACCAGTACCTATAAATGTGTCAACTCAACTTTTCTGTGTAAAGCTTTCAACAGTTTTTTGTTTTGTTTTTTTTTTTTTTTTCATTTGGTACTGGATATTTCTAGTTAAGTCCCTCCCTCCCTTTGGCTTCAGTTTTGCTTTATAAAACAGTGATATAAGGATACTACTGTTAGACTGGGTATTGACGAAGATATGTAACATTACGTTCCCATGACTACAGAAAAAAAAAAGGTCACTTATTTCCAGAAAAGGTTGCTGGCAAGTTGGGGATATTCACCCCTGTTTTGTCTGTTTTAAGAAACTGCACAGATAACATGTTTTTTTGAGTTGGTCTTGGGGCTTTAAATGATAGTATACACTTTTACTTCAGAGTAAATTAGCTACTTCGATTAACTTTTAGAAAGAATTTACAGAAGAAATACTTTGGCCAGGCATGGTAGTATGTGCCTATGATTCCCAACTATTTGGGAAGGCTGAGGCAAGAGGATGGCAAGTTTGCGGCCAGCCTGGGCAATTTGTGAGACCCTGTCTCAAAACAGAAAAATTACTTTGTCAAAGTGTATTCCTTTACTATTCGCAGATTTCTCTGAGTATCTTGTAAACTTGTCATGTGTTCTTGTGTGTCATTTTAATTGTCTGTCATCTCCTGGGTCTTTTCCTACTAAATATGGTGTATTTTCTTTCTAAACTAACCTATTGGACATTTTCTGTGCTAGAGGCCAGAGGAGGTGCCCTCCAGGATATGCATCAAACAATGTCTAATTTTAAAAGCTATTATTCTCAAAGAAGTGGGAGGAAATTCGGGGAATGAGAACAAGCAACTGCTTTAATTACAGTCTCATTCTCTAATGCTCTTTGTTAGACAGTCAGCTTTCTTTAAAAATTGTCCTTAGGAATCACTTCTCTCAGGAAATCTAAAATGAATACTGGCTTTGTGTGGAATTTAACTAATATCTTGGAAAGCCTTTGATGAATCTTGCTTATTACCCTCTTCACTTACTGTGTCTTATCATGAATCATCAGTCATTTTAAGTAATAACATTTTAAGTAAAAAATGCAAAGTTCTCTAATAGTGTTCATTCAGTAGTAATTCCAATTTCTTTAAATTCCTGTTTTATTTTTTCTCTGAAAAAAAAAATGTGTTTAAATTGAAGTTCACCTAAGCTTTAGTGATAGGGAATTATTTGGTCTTGAATTTACCAGCAACTGAATTATGAATTTAAGTCACATCTTATACTTCATCAAATCTAATACATTATAATTTATAAAAAAATAAATAAAAGAATCATTATTTAATATGCCATTAAGAAAGAGCAAGCAACACTACCGATTACAACATGACACACCAATTTTATAGAAGTTAAAATGTGAGAAATGTTTGAAACAGATGTAATAAAAAATGGGAGGAAATATATCTCTGTTGCTAGCTGGGCAGGAAGCTTTGTTTTGCTTGATTCTTCAAGGGACTTGTTTGTACAATAAAAAGGTTGGTTTTTGTGTTAGGATTTTTATCTCATATCAGCTCTTTAGCATAACATAAGATGCAAAAGTGTTTCCCCATATCATAACACAGGATTCCCCCTGTTTTTGCTGCCAGTAACTTCTGCTGGAACTTGAGATATAATGGTGAGCAAGAATCCTTAGAAGGCATGGAAGCACTTGCTTTTTTTCTGTGATACATCCCTTTGGTCTTCTGTTCCAGCAGCAGCCCCTGCAGACAGTACCCCTGTAACCTGGCAGCTCCAGACTCAAGCAGCCAGTGCTTCTGAGCTGTTTTGACCTAGACTCAGTCTGGCTGCCTGGACCTGAAAGACCACATCTGGAAACCATGTTAGAGAAGGAGGAAGAATTGTTTTCCTAAGCAGCTGACTGTCTGGGTTAGATGGGGATGTTAGCCCCAGAAGCAGCCTTCAACCAATAAGCTTTTTAAGTTTATGGATAACTATCCTGGGCTTCCTTCTTTAAAAAAATAATTACATGATGTACAAGATCCTGGGTTCTATCCCCAGCACCATGACAAAAAAAAAAAAAAAAAAAGAATTCTGCAATATTAGTTCCTCAGAGGGTTTTTCAGGCAGGAGTGGGCCACTACTCCATATATTTCATTTGCTCTGCTCCTGTCCCTGTTTCACTCTCTCCACTCACTTCCTGATATCACCTCCTCAACAAACTTCCTGTTTCCAACCTTGTCTCATCTTCCATTTTTAAGGGACCCAAATTAAAACATAGGGAGTCACCTAGTTTGTGTTTCTACTCAATGACGACTCTTTGCCATGTCTTTCCCAGATGACTATTCCTCATCAACTCAAGAAGTTTGCAACAAAGGAGACTGTACTACCTGATAAAGTAATTCATTCTGTTTTTGAATGGCTGAAGGTGTTAAATATTTGCTCCTATGAAGCCAGAATTTACACTGTTCTGAGCTATGGGTTGGGGGAAGGGGTGGACTCTCTTCTACATCTCAGTTTCTTCATTATCTGAAAACGGCACATTTGCCATCTCTTTACTTTCTTATCCATTCTCTATGTTCTGGTTTCCAACTGTGGTCCTTCAAATCTGCGCAAAAATGTCCCTCAGCCTAAAGTCAATTGTTCTTTTAGTCCATTTATAAACCCTTGGCCAATCCTGAAATTATGGTGAAACAACATTATCTATTCTAGCTACCATTGAGACATCTCTTATGCTCAGTACCTGTTTGTGTTTACTCTTCTTTCACTTTGTGAAGAACTATTCTTCTATCTTCCAAATACTCTTTTCCCAGCCTTCTGTCACTGACACACTTCATAAACCTGATTTGCATGTCTTAATTAAATATCTTAATAACAATGTCAAATAAGATATGAAAAAGTATGTAATACAGCAGGAAAACCCTGGAGACATCCTCCACAGTGAACAGAAATCCACTAATCAAGGTGTCCAAGCTTTTGTGAACTCACAAAAGTAACAGAAGTAACTTCCAAATGATATTTCTTTTGCTTTTTCTCAGTATCATAATAAACTATTTTACATTCGTTGCAATTAAACATCTGACAACTTACAGATGAGCTTTATCAGGAATTAATTATCCATGCACATGCATGTAAATTACGAAGTCATGTCTGCTGGTCTATAGTAGAGGATAAAGCCTAAGTAAGGGCCAAGTGCAGTAGTGCACGTCTGTAATCCCAGCGGCTCAAGAGGCTGAGACAGGAAGATCCTGAGTTCGAAGCCAGCCTCAGCAAAAGTGAGGCACTAAGCAACTCAGTGAGACCCTGTCTCTAAATAAAATACAAAAAGAGGCTGAAGATGTGGCTCAGTGGTTGAGTGCCACTGAGTTCAATCCCAGGTACCCTCCCCCCAACCAAAAAAAAAGCCTAAGTAAGGCTTTTTCTTTTCTTCTGTTTTTTGTTTTGTTTTGTTTTGTTTTGTTTTGTTTTCCTCCAGATATTTTTCTGTAGTCACCTGAACCTAACCCTTTCCATGTGGTCATTCTGACTCTCAGTGATTTCGCTTTCCTCTTCCTGTTTCTGCCTCCCCAGGCTCAATCCCAGTTTCCAAAGTCTTTTTGATATATTCATGCACTTGGATTCTCTATTTTCTGCCCCTGAGTTTAAACCCAACTCTAGCAGACAGCCTTAGCAGCATTATTTTTTTTAAATCTCCATGGATTAGTTATTCATCTAATCTGGTCAATGAGAGAAAGTGTTATGTCTTCACAATCATGGTTTCTGACTTAGGATTTAACTGATGCTGCTTGCTGTTTTTTTACCGTGCCCCTCCAAACCCAAAATATGGTAACGTGGGTCAGATTTGTCTTTTGTATTTTGTTCAGAGATTTAGCCATCTTCCTATATCCCCTTCTCTGTGATTAGCACATCCAAGCCACATATGGTTACCAATAATATAATCATTTACACAAAATCCAGGTGATCCCTGTGCCAAAAGCCTGAGTCCCTGCAGCAGACTAGAGAACCCATGATCTGGTCACACTGTGCTGAGGCACAAGACTGCTTCCCCTGTTGAGATATGGGTTCAATCTGGCTTGTGATGGAGGCCCAGGAAAGCTCCTTGTCCCCAGCTTCACATTCCTAAATCTTGAAATTTAGACTTTTGATATGAAGATATTTCATCTCTTCAAAGTTAAGAATGCCTCTTTTGCATTTTCTCTTTTTAAAAATTATTTTTAATTTACTTAAAAGCTTCAAAAACTGAAAATTGCAAGGCTACTTTGACACTGGCACTTCTTCACCTTGTCTTATTCTTACTTACTCTTATAAGCCTGTGCTGATAAGATGCCCATTACCTGATCAGGGAACCTCTGAGGCCAAGTTAGGAAATGCAGAACTGAGGATTTGCTCTCCTCCTTACCCCCAAAGTTGACTGTGTTCTTGATTCTGTGAAGATTATGGGGGAAAAAGAGTGAACAGGGTGAACTGGAAAGAAAGGCGTCTGAACATTGTCTGCAACCCAAAGCATCTATTTCTCTTCACAAATGAAGGAACTTAAATATCTATAAACAAGAAGAAGGCTGTTTATCATGCCTGGCTCTCTCATTAGCTGATCACCAAGGAAATTCAAGGGAACAACCCAGAAAAGTCTTTATGGTTGAAATAGCTTTAAGGAAATATCTGGAAACAGGGATTCATTGTGGTATGTAATAAGCTTGCCAGTTTCTTTTAAATCCTGATTTTTTTTTCCTTTACAAATAATTTTTGGTCTATTCCGTGTATCTGATATTTGGCTTTTTATCAAAAAGTTCTTTTCTCAGGAGAAAAAAAAAAGGAATGATGGAAAAAAGAAAAAGGACCTAAGAATTTCCATCTTCAGTCTTATCTCTGATTTGTCTTATTGTCTGGATCTTAGAATGTAATTGAAGCATCTTCTTAGGTTGATTATTCCTTTTTCTGGAGGATTTTAAAAGTACCAAATCATGAGAAATTTTCTTTCTTTATTCATATAAACTGCTAATTAGATTTTCTTTAACCTAATAATTAAATGCTTTTCCTCATGGACCCACATTCTTTCTTCTCTACAACCAAGATGTGAAAAAATCGATACCCTCATTATCAGTGTCTAAAGACAGAAACTGAGCTCCTGGTGCAGCGTCCCTTCTCATGAGCAGCCAGGGCTGCTCCTTGTCTTCTCTTTTATTTTTTCTGGATCCTTATTCTTAGAGCCTTATTTTCTTCCAAAACCCTTTGCTAGCCAAGGAACTTTTTTTAAATTAATATGGCAAACTCAATCTGTGCTTTAAAAAAAAATAGTATATAACTATACATGTAAAAGAGAGAGGGGTGGGGGAGGGAGGTTCAGAGTCATTCAAGGAAACTAAAAGATAAAATTAAAATGACATGGGATACTAACAGAAGTTTTTTATCTTTTTTATTTCATTATAAATATTAAAGTTTTAGTTTTAAACTTTGTTATTTGTCTGCATAGTCTAGAACCAAGTTTCAGAAGGCAATTTTTGTGCAATGGGAATTTTTGTTTTACCATATGATTAATAGAATTAATAGGATGTAGTGAGCAGAAAATAACTTGCCTAAAGGGAAATATGCTTGGGTATCTAGCAAAACCAGCAGTGTCATCTCAAAGTCCAAACAGCACAAAATATGATTCAAAGTGAATTGAAATTTAAACATAAGATCTGAAAAACATAAAACTCCCAGAAGAAAACATTGGGGAGAAAGCTCCCTGACATTGGTCTTGAATTTTTTTTTTTTTTTCAATTTGACACTGGGGCAAAGGCAACAAAAGCAAAATAAAATACGTGGGCCTACAGCAGATTAAAAGGTTTCCATACAGCAAAGGAGACAATCAACTAAGTGAAAAAGTGACCTAGAGAAAATATTTTTAGCCATATGTAGGATTTGCATCAAGGGTAGACCACATTTATAATGACGGTCACATAGGATGATAGCTCTCTTAGTTTGTTGTGTAAGTACACTCTTAGTGTTCATACAACAATGATATCATCTAACAGTGCAGTTCTTAGAACATATTCCCATTATTAAGTGAGACTTTACTGTATTTGACAAGGATATAATATCCAAAATCTATAAGGAATTCATACAACAATAATGAAAAAGTAATAATTCAATTAAAAGTGGTCAAAGGCATACAATCAATCAACAAGTACATGAAAAAATGCTCACCATCTCTAGCAGTCAGAGAAATGCAAATCAAAACCACCCTAAGATACCATCTCACTCCAGTTAGATTGGCAGCCATTATGAAGTCAAACAACAAGTGCTGGCGAGGATGTGGGGAAAAGGGTACACTTGTACATTGCTGGTGGGACTGCAAATTGGTGCAGCCAATTTGGAAAGCAGTATGGAGATTTCTTGGAAAGCTGGGAATGGAGCCACCATTTGACCCAGCTATTCCCCTTCTCGGTCTATTCCCTAAAGACCTAAAAAGAGCATGCTACAGGGACACTGCTACATCGATGTTCATAGCAGCACAATTCACAATAGCTAGACTGTGGAACCAACCTAGATGCCCTTCAATGGATGAATGGATAAAAAAAATGTGGCATTTATACACAATGGAGTATTACTCTGCATTAAAAAATGACAAAATCATAGAATTTGCAGGGAAATGGATGGCATTAGAGCAGATTATGCTAAGTGAAGCTAGCCAATCCCTAAAAAACAAATGCCAAATGTCTTCTTTGATATAAGGAGAGTAACTAAGAACAGAGTAGGGTCGAAGAGCATGAGAAGAAGATTAACATTAAACAGGGATGAGAGGTGGGAGGGAAAGGGAGAGAGAAGGGAAAATGCATGGAAATGGAAGGAGACCCTCAGAGTTATACAAAAGTACATACAAGAGGAAGTGAGGGGAAGGGGAAAAATAATATAAGGGGGACAAACGAATGTCAGTAGAGGGAGCAGAGAGAGAAGAGGGGAGGGGAGGGGAGGGGAGGGGGGATAGTAGAGGATAGGAAAGGCAGCAGAATACAACAGACACTAGTATGGCAATATGTAAATCAATGGATGTGTAACTGATGTGATTCTGCAATCTGTATATGGGGTAAAAATGGGAGCTCATAACCCACTTGAATCAAATTGTGAAATATGATATATCAAGAACTATGTAATGTTTTGAACAGCCAACAATAAAAAATTTAAAAAAAAAATAAAAATAAAAAATAAAAGTGGTCAAAGGAATGAATAGACATTTGTCCAAAGATGTACAAATAGCCAACAGATATATGAAAAGAAGTTCAATATCATTAATGATCAGGGAAATAAATCAAAATTATAGTAAGAATCTACCTTGTTCCTATTATTGGCTACTATCAAAAAATTTAAAATAACTAGTGTTCTCAGAAATGTGGACAAAAGAAAACCCCTCTTCATTTTGGTGATGCACGTTGGTATGACCATCATGAAAAACAGTATGAAGTTTCCTCAAAAAATTAAAAATAAAACTACTGTAAAATCCAGTCTACTTCTAGGTATATACTTCTAGGAAATCAGAGATATCTGCACTCTCACATTCACTGATTCGCAAAAGCCAAAATATTGAAACAGCCCATCATATTGAAACAGTGTCGATCAACAGACGAATAAATAAAATGTGGTATATATATATACAATGGAATATTATCCAGTCTTAATAAAAAGAGAGAGAGAAGGGAAATCCTGCCATTTGCAAGAACATGCATGAACTTGGGAGACATTATGCTAAGCAGAATTAGCTAGTCACAAAAAGACAAATACTGTATGATACCACTTCTATGTAGAACCTAAAAAAAAAAAAAAAAAAACAGAAGCAGAAAGCACAGTGGTAGTTACAAAGAACTGAAGGGTAGAGAAGAAAGGGAGATATTGATCAATTGGTCAAATGGTACAAAATTTCATTATAGGGTGAATAAGTTGTAGAGATCCAATGTATAGTATGGTAACTATAACAATAATGTATCAATGGATTTCAGGTGTTCTCACCACCACACACACAAAAATAAACAAGTGTGTGATGCGTGATGCATGATAGACATGTTGATTTGCTTGATTGTGGTAGTCATTTCACAATGTGTAGATACATCAAAATATCACATTGTACATCTTAAATATATGTAACTCATATTTATCAATCACACATCCATAAAGTTGGAAGAGGGTATATATTTTAGAAATAGTTACCAGCCCCATTTTTCTCATGGCCTTCCATTTTGTTCTTCTAACCCTGTCATCATTATCATTAATTAGCAATTAATAATCAATTTTTTAAAGAAATAAGATGTGACTACAGCAGCAGCTGTTTGGGGTCCAGTGCACTTTCTCAACTAGTGGTTTATAATCCCAGTTGACATCAATAATCTTTCTGAACCAGGAATCAACAAATTTATTTTGTAAGGCCCAGAGAGTACTGTTTGGGACCATACAGTCCCTGTTGCAACTATTATTTTGTACTACAATCTGCCATTTATCCTGTGGTCTTTAGTTTGTCAAATCCTACTCTAGACCATAGGATAAAATGGTGAAAATAAGTGAAAAATTATTCTAAAACTAATAAAAGTGTTTCTAATTAGATAAGATATATTGCCCATATGTCCTTTGACTTTTCATATTTTATTTATATTTCTGCATAATGGTTTTTAAATTTTTTCCCTGAAACTGTTAACAAGCTTTCATTTAATCTGAATCTTTGTTTTATCAGAATTTAACAACTTAATTATATAATTTATTGACAATCATTTACTGAATTTTCCCCTTCTCTTCGTAATTCAGGCCCTGGAAAATCACTGCAGAGTGAAGGGAGGCTATTCAGGCTTAAGGGATGTTTATTTCATTTACGAAACTTATGATGATGTGCAGCAGAGTTTCTTCCTGGCAGAGACACTAAAGTAAGTGAAAATTATTCTAAAACTATATGACTGATGTGCCTGACAGAACTTCTTTGTAGGTGTCTTTAGTGAACACTAATTCAAAATGTCATTCCACACACGACAATAATTGCTTACAGGTGTGTTTCCAGTCATTCCAAAGTTCAGTGACTTGAGACTGCTTTGTGTGATTTCATAGACTAACACCAAAGGACAGAGTAAATTACTCCCTATTAATGAGGATATCTCTCACAGTTCTGATAGGCTTGACTTGTCCATGCTGCTTCACAAGATGAGTAGAGATGCTGAGGGGGTTTTCACTCTGTCTTTGTGGTTTTACAGCCTGACATGGTCTCTTGGGGCTCATATACTCACATTTTTTCTCTCCAGATACTTGTACTTAATTTTTTCTGATGATGATCTTCTTCCACTGGAGCACTGGATCTTCAATACTGAGGCACATCTTCTTCCTATACTCCGTGAAGATAAAAAGGAAGTTGAAGTCAAAGAGAAATAAAAATATATTTTATATTTTACTCTGCTTCATTCCCTTCACTGCATACCTTAATAATTTCTTTTATGGTAACCAGGCACATGATAAACTTTTATCAATAAGTCTGTGATTATTCTAAGTTCTAAAATTGTTTTGCAGTCTTTTATGTTTATTATCATAGGCATAAATGGACCTAAATTTCTTATTCCTTTATTATCTAGCCAGTAGATCCACATGTTTTGTTTGTATAGTATTTTTGTTCTCTCTTAAGTAACCTCTTATCTCTGGAGTTCATAAAATTGTGATATTATTTTCATTAAATTAATAGAATGGTATACCAGTGACCTCTTAATTACAATTTGATTTGACTGCAAAACTTTTTCCTCCTCTATGAGGAGATGATATCTGCTTTAAGCTGTAATGTTTTGCCATGTTGCAAAAAGCCATAATAATAAATTAAATATTAAAAAAAAGCTTTTTCCTTTTTGATTTTATGTTAATCTGGTTTGTCTATCCACCAGAGACAGATCTTATAACTGTGACAGCCTCCTTATGCGGGTCTATCGTTATTTGATAGAATGTCTTCTAAAATACTCATTCACATTGTAATTCAAATTAGAAAGTCATCCCAGAAGAATCATCTCATGTTGACCTCATTTCATTGGAACTGCAATTCCAATTGCAGTATATTTTTGTTGGTTAATTATATTAGTGTTTCCTGAGTTATGAATTTTTTTCTTTACTTTTAATGCCCTATGTCATCTTTCTGGATCTTGTATTGCTTGATTTCTTCCATACCACCTTTCTTCACCTTCCATAGCAAGGTGAGCTCTGCTATTAATGAATTATACTTTTTTCAAGGGAAACAATTCAACTATTAATGTTCTAGCTTTTGCTTTTAACTGAATATGTAAAGAAATTTGGTTTTGAAAGAAAGGGTGAGAATTTCGTGTGGCTATTAATTCATTTGTCTACCTTTCGTTTTTTAATTTTTCTCTTAAGAAGAAAGCATTCCATTCTGCTGAAAAGACATGAAAATGGCCCTTTCTCAAATGTAGTAAATTTCTTCATTTCAGTTTATAAAAGTAGGAACGACTTCGTGAAGGAAACTTTGCCAATTTGTCTATTCACTGTCCATTAAGGAAAATTTAATAAACTCTTAGTCAAATAAGAATATTGTGTATCTACTATGGCTAAGTTCTATGTAAAGATTCCAACTTAGAAGCAACATGTAGGAAAGGACACTCCCAGTTCCCCAAATTTGATCTGCAGGGATCAAAATAATTATATATTTCTTGTAAACATTAAGTGTTGAAACATGAATGGTTTTCTCAAGAACAGAATTTGGTGACATCTTTGTGTTTTCTTATCATATTGGCACTGTGAATGGGCTAATGTGATGATGCAGAACTAAGGTACAAAGGCTTTGACCATCTAAATTTTCAGTTTCAATGATCAGGTAAATCAGTACAACCCCATGAATTAGGCTGAAGCATGTGACATTGCTGCATTTGTAGTTTAAAAACTCTAATATCAGCAATTTCATCTAACTCCAACCTAGTATTTTTAAGAGAATTATTTTCTTAACTCTCGATAGACAATAGTCTTAGCTATTTCAGCTTTTGAAAGTGTTTCCAAAGATTTCCTTTGTCTTACAAAACCACCTTTTATTTTCTTTCAATGTTGCACTTTAATATATGTCAAAGAACAAATTAGTGAAATTAGTAAATTAAAAAGATTCTTTAGCACATCATTATGACCACATAAATGTGCCTCTGTGACCCAAAATAACTTTCCATGTCTTCAGCCTGCCTACTGAAATGAGTGGACAACAAAAGTTCTTTTTTCCAAAAACTTTAAGGTAAAATATTAAAAATCACTGCCAAAATTAGGCCATATGTATTTAGATTATAATTTTCACATCACTGTCCTTGGATCAACCATTTAAATAATTTTCTTTTCATTTCAATTTTATTTGAAGAAACACATATATTTCTGCAGCACATAGGATATTAAAATCAGGTTGTGTGTACGCACACTACACTGTACCTTTTGTGTCCTTGTTTAAGTAGACAAGAATCTGTACTCCATGTTGCTGTGCCAATGGCAAGAAGTGTTTTCAGTTCTAGAACTTGGATTTTTTTAACAGAAGATCCAAAGCACCAAAAATGTATACAAAGGATTAATACTATAATAATGTAATTTAATTAAAATTATACTTTGTGTTACTTTAAACAACTGGTCTCTAGATAGACACTGTCCTTCATTCATTCCCAACAAAATTGTGCAGTTGAATTTATAAATGTATTCACATCCTTAAAAGATGAACAATTAAAATAACATTTAATTTTGTGTTTATGCAATATGTTTTTGATATATTTTGTGCACTTAATAGTACACATATAAGTTGTATGCCAATTTACAGAACTCAATGACTTCTTTATCATGACTTTTTCATGTGTATTACCCACTTTTTACATTGTTTTTGATTTGTACATAAATCCATTCTGTCATATACAACTTTATATAAATCTCTAATGTTATGGGAAGCATAATAGATTGACACATAATTTTTAAAAGTTATATTTGTAAGATTTCTCTATTGTGAATAAAGTCTTTTAATATATCTCCTCCTGTATTATATTTTTTCCTTTTAACTAAATTTTCATATGTCTAGGGGTGAATGTATACAGTTGCAAACAGAAATTAGATCCTAATAGCAATTTTGTAAAATACCTAGAAAATCTTGACAAGGAAACATTTCCCATTAAAAACTTTACATTGCAAATTATTTTGTGTACATAGCCTTTGGCTAATCATGTTCCTTTATTAAGAGTCTAAGGTAGGTTCAATACCAGGACATGCAGGGGAGAGGCAGGGATTAGTGTCAAAAATGGCATAAAGTCTAATGCATGCTCCTAAGATTGCACTGCAAGGAGATCAGTCTAATCCACCCCACCCCTAAAACAAGACAAAACATCATGTGGTTGTGTTATGTTACAAGTTAAATTCTGCTGTACAAATTCAGAGGAGAGAGAGGTTCATAACTTTGGGGTGTTCAGAGAGACTTAGTAGAAAACAACTTGGGCCACAGGAGGACCTCCAGCACTTTTGAAAAAAGCCTAGGTTTTAAATTTATTTATATATATATATATATATATATATATATATATATATATATATATGTACTGGGGAATGAATCCAGGGGCTCTTACCCACTGAGCCACATCCTCAGATCATTTTTGTATTTTATTTAGAGACACGGTCTCACTGAGTTATTTAGGGCCTCGAAAACTTGCTGAGGCTGGCTTTGAACTTGCAATCCTCCTTCCTCAGCCACCCAAGATTCTGGGATTACAGGCATGCACCACCATGCCTTGCTCTAGGTTTTATAATTTTATTTTGTACTGTTTTCAGACATTTTGGTTGCAGTTCTTTCCACCTAGAACTCTCTTTCTCCAATGTAGTATAGCTCATTCCTTTAGGTAGCTAGTCAGCCAGGAGTGAGTGAGCAGGAATAAGATAAGGAAGGCCCACTGGAAACCACGGGGAGTCTTACCTGACACATAAGCACCTGGAAGATGAGGGCCTGATACGTTAAAGCCTCCCCCAGCTAGTTACATGTCCTCCTGAGGAAAAACCATTGTTCCAAGATCAGGTCACCTACTAGGTGTCCTGGACCCTCCCTATCACCAAAACTGTCACCGCCCCCCATTCAGTTGGGAAACTGAAAGAAGAGCCCCAGATCATGTACATTCACAAGACACTAATTCGAAACAAAACTGTAAGTAAATAGCAGAAAGATCAGTAGAGTAGAGGGAAGGAAACAAGGAGGGAGGACTGTGGGCAGAAAAGAAAGTGATGGGGACTGAATTAGAACAAAATCATATTCCATGCTTTTATAATTATGTCAAAATGAATCTTATGTACAACTAAAAAGAACCAATACCAAAAGGAAAAAAAAAAGCTTGCTGAGGGCTATTCAAAGGGTAATAAATGGATTTAAGGGGCAGGAAATTGAGGCAAAAACAGGGACTCAATTCCTCTCTGCACCACACCATTAGTCTTTGAATTGGTCCATGCAGTTTCTATGCTGTCAGTCAGAAGGCAGACTTGGGTGGAACTTTGGAACTGTCCTGGGACCCCCAATAAAACTGGAGGGCATACTGTCCCTTTCCTCTCCGAGAGACCCACTCCCTCTCTTCAGGGTGTCCCCTTTTGTCCTTTCCTATCACTTCTAATAAACTCATGTCTGTTACTCTGAAGGACATGTCTGGAATCTTTGTGGTCTGTGATTGTAAGAATCAGGGTGAAGAGGGGGATCTCCACGCAGCCTCAGTCGTAATGATTTCCTTACCTCATTCAGGTCTGTCTTCAACAGTCACCTTTTCAGAGTGGTTTCTTTGACAAATCAATATACAATTTCCCACAGCCCTTTTTCCCTTGCCCTATTTTATTTTCTACTTAGCATTGCTATATTATGTACTTACTTCCTCATTTGTTTATCGCCTGTCTCACCTCTTCCTGTTTAAGCCCCATGGGAACAAAGACTTTATTTGCCCCCTACCACTACCAACATCGTTTTATTTCCAGTGCTTCCACAGTACCACAGTACCTAGTACATGGTAGTGATAGGGGACAGACAGATGTGAGTGGTAGGTTCAGGAGGTTACAGGAATAATTCTATAAAATGGGCCTATTGTGTTCACCCCCCTCATGCTTTCATTTTTAAAAAGCAATTTTCCTACAGCCCTGCTGGCTTAAGCCCACAGGATATGTTACATTCCTCAGCAAACTACATGTTATCTCCAGGAGAAATGCAGGCCCAGAAACACCAATGACCAGAAGAACACAAGTTACTCTGAAGGGAGTAAGGGGGACTTTTGTGACCCTTACACAGACCAGATCCTGGAACTCGGGGAGATAAGGATAATTCCCCCTAACCATAAAATCTGTAAGAACAGGTTCTGATTAAAGTTGGTCAGCATGGGCCAAAGTGACCCACCTCGAGTGGTCATGGCAGCAAGGACTTGAAAGTCTGATGTGATCCTGCTCTCAGTCAAAAGTGAAAAGGTCAACCTGGGCAGGACTCTAGAAATTTCTCTGTGACTCCCAATAAAACTAGAGGGCAGAGACACACCATCCCTTTCTTCTCTTTCATTTTCCCCATCCCTTCTAATACACTCATGCCTGTTATTCTGACCGACATGTCTGAAATCTTTTTGACTTCATTGCAAGAATGCAGGTAGGAAGGGACCCTTCATACCGCCTCAGTTTCCCAAAAGGCCCCAACCTTGTAGCAGTTTGGTGAATGAGTGCATGAATGAATGAGAATGATTTATATTCAGAGACTTTGCTACAACTACTTGAAAATATCTTCATCGGTAGTTTTTCTTTTCTATGTTAAAGTAAATTCTTATTTGTGACTGGAATCAACTTTCAACAGATTTTTTTAAAACATATCATTAAGGTGTAACTGTGTAAACTGAAAATTTAAAAAAAGAAGATGATAAAGTAAATCATGGTTCCCCCCATATAGGGTTTTTCAGTGTTTTTGTTTAAATAACCTACTCTTATTTTGTATGACTAAATCTCACAATCTCTGTCTCATATAGAAATTTAAAAAAAAAAAAAAACTTGAGGTCATCAAGCAAAATAACAGTTTTCCACCTAACAAAAAGTTAGTCAAATGGGAACCTTCTAGATTCAACTATTTGTAACACATACAGCATTAGTTGTGTTTTCTCTGTTGGTGACAAATTTATTAAAATTTATTCTAAGCCTGTTTTTTATTTATACTAAACATCAGCCATTCCTACAGAAAGGGCAACTTGGCAGCCAATATATCTAATTTCTGATAATGATATGTAGACAGTTATTTTGAATTTTAAGAAAAATTAGCAAGATAAAGCTTTTCTTCATTCAGGCATGGAGTTTATATCTCTAATTGCCATTCTAGCTCCTTAGGTAGTGCCTGAAATGTGCAGGTGGCATAGGGAATCTTCTTAAAACTCCAATTTAATGATCCAAAGGCTGATTTCTGTTTTTTTCCAGGCTCATTCCATTCTCACTAGCCAAGGCCTGAGTCATAATTTTCAAGAAATGTTTGCCAAGTATTGGATATGCATTTAAAGTATTAGAACTATGTGGGAGTCTAGACGCATTTAGCCCAACTCAGATATGAAAAAAAGTAGATTTTCCATAAGTTAGAAACAGTTTTGTATCCCTGTTCTGTGTTCCCAGACACAGGGAGTGATAAGATTTTATGCAATAATGAAGAATGATATATGAAAGCACAGGTGTGTCCAGCTAGCCACTCTAAAATAAAAGTACAAATTCAGGGTCCACCCTCGGAAAGGGGTCTGCTGCTATCTTTCTCTGTTGAGGTGAGGCTATAGAAGAATATAAGCCTTTTTTTTTTTTTTTGTAGCAGGGATTGAGCTCAGAGGTGCTTAACCACTGAGCCCATCCCCAGCCCTTCTTTCTTTAAGAAGTTGCTTAGGGCCTCACTAAATTACTGAATTTGGCTTTGAACTTGGAATCTTCCTGCCTCAGCCTCTCCAGCCACTGGGATTACAGGCATGTGCCACCACATCCAGCTCTCTTCTAAGTCTTTTTAAAATACAGATTCTGAGGGGCTGGGTTGTGGCTCAGTGGTAGAGTGCTTGCCAAGCATGAGCAAGGCCCTGGGTTCAATCCTCAGCACCACATAAAAATAAATAAAGGTATTGTGTCCAACTAAAAAATAATTTTAAAAAAATTTAGATTCCAGATCTTCCCCCAAATTTAGCAAATCAAAATTGTGATAAAAGCCATGTACCTCCACATTTAACTAGTTCCTTATGCTATTCCTATGCATGCTAACATGGAGAACCACAATTTTTAAGTTATATGTAGGTGGAAATCCCAGAACTACTAAATTAATGAATTAATTTGCAAGTCATGACAAGCATATATACTTTTTTCTGTATTTTTTTCCCATCTCATAAGTTTAAGTACAACTTGACAATTTTGACCACTTTGGAAATAGATTCATCCTTTTACAAATGCATCTCTGAGCAATAAGCTATACATTTAAACCTTTTAGAAATAGATTCACAGTGGATTTTTAAGCATAATTCTTTATTTGGGGAATCTCTAAAGTATTAACTTCAATCATCCCATTTTTTAATTCAGCAATTTTCCTTTGCTTTTTTCTTCCCCTAGTTGCTTTTAAAGTCATTTTTCAAACTTTTTTTTTCATGCAGATTTTAACATGATTGTCACTTTCACAGTCTGCACAGAACACCTAGTTTGTCCAGTGTCATACAAATGCATAAAGTGCTGTTGGATACTACCTCTGAAAAGCACCTTCATTTCCTCCACCCCACTGGTGCCCAGGGCTTTCACTTTCATTTTTATGTTAATTGTCAAAAAATTGTTGGCTTGCCATTATTATGATCATTTTGAATCCCCTTAATACATGTCTTAAATTGGTGTCACAATTCCATTTAATTCCCCAGTGAATGCAAATTACCATGAAATGTTAGAAAACAGCAATAGATCTATATATGCAAAAATAAAAATTAAAAATTAAAAATTTTTCCACATACTGGAACATTTTGGCCATAGGCTATGAGCACATAT